GTCCTCAATGTATCTACGGAATTACCTGTCACGTTGGATAGCTTGTCAAGAATAGCTCAAACCCTTGACAGTAGCTTTCCTTCTTCGAATTTGTCACACACCGTGGGGACCATAATGAAACATCCCTCTCGAAACAACGACAGCTACTTCCATGAAAATAACCTATGCGTTTCCAAACAGCTAGAGGAATTACTTATTGGTTATGCACGTCTTCTATTGGAGAAGACTTTGATATCACAAGATGCTGCGCGACAGGCTGCTGAATCACAGTTGCATTTTTATATTTCCTGTACCGCTCTAAATTCAAGCCGAGCATTGTCTAGTATCATCGACGAAGAAGTTAGTCGTGGCTCATTTAATTTGGTCGCACAATCATGTGCCTACCTTCTTGCCCCATCCATTTTGCAAAAACCTTCTGGATTAAAAACGAGTGTCAATATCCTGTTGCTTGCAATTCGAAACGATACGATTCAAAAAGTTGTTGAAACAGACTTCGGACCCACACTGATACTTCTCCTTTTGCGTACGGTTACTGTTTCTCCTTGTTCAATCTGTCATAACGCGTTGCGATGTGTTCAGGCGCTAGTGGCCAAAAAGGAGGTCCCTCTCCCTTCTCATAACTTGCTTGTGCAACATTTCGACCCTTTATTAAAAATGTTGTGCAGGCTGTGCAAACGAGGTGAAATGAGTTCAACCATGGTGCAAATTGGTGCAGGTCTAGTCGCCGATATTATTGAGCGCTACCGAGTCATCAGGCCTTCACTCATACCCCCAGGGTTACACAGCAACATTCCCTTTCCCATTGTGATTTGCGCACGTGTGCTCATTGATGCGATCACAAGCAAGCCCCCTCGCCCTCTGCCGGAGGCACTTGTGAAAGCACGCAGGTCGACTCACTGTGTGCACCATACCATCGTCACGAAACAACCCAATGCTCAGGGCATGTCGGCGTGTTACTGCGTCTTTTCAGAAAATGATCGTGATGTGGAAAGTGTCAAGACCTTTGAGGTGGTTCTAAGGGGATCGCGCAAAGGCGCCGTTATTGTTGGCTGGGATTTAGACTACCCACCGGAAAACCCCATGCGCGTCCTCCAAAAGTTACCCTCCCCAGAGCTCGATAATGGACCACTTCCCTCATGTGGTTACTACATTGAGCCATTCAGGGGTGATGTTTTTGTTTGCTTGGGGCGAAAGCGGGAAAAAAACCCTCTCAAGGTCAAAGTGAAACCCAATGACTTAATCGTTGTCTCGTGCTCGTACAACGAGCAACTCATCAAGCTGTGTCTCCGTCGGGGTACACAAAATGAGCTGACGACAAGTTTTTCTCCAACTGCCACCGAGTGTGTGTCGTTGCCATTTGTTTATTTACAGCATAACCTAGACGCCGTCTTGAATTTTGATGGACTGAATATCGACAACGACACCCTCAATGTGAGTCAGATATACGCGGAGCTTCAGATGAACCCACAGACACTGGACTCCATACCTGCGCAGTCCTATGAGTTTTACGTAGAGCTGAATACGTTTTCTCAGACCGTTCTCGAAGGGGAATCATCGTCAGCGGAGACAGTTAGTGAAATTGACACTCATGAAGTCGCGGGCTACATGCAACTTACGAAATTTATGGGAGCAAATGCCTTTTTGGACCGAACCACTTCTATTCAGGCTTTAGAGCCATATCGGAAGCGACTCCATATTTTTGATGCTTTAACCATCACTTTCTCACCATTAATTAACTTGAGACGAAAATCAGAGCTCTTTGATATTTTTCGAGTTCTCAAAAACTTGTGCTCCAAACGAACCGAAGAGAAATTTCAGGCTGACATCATGCGCCCGTTTCAGAATAGGGCCGGTCGAAGGGCGCATGTGACCATACATTTGATGCAAGCCAAGCCTTCTCTTCAGCTCGGGGCACACCCAACACTCATGCGTTCAGTCTTTGGACAGCTATACCTTCACCTCCAACATACTAGCACCGATACCTTTTATGTTTCACCCATCTTCACCGTAAAGTTAATTGGCTTCGGATCTACCGACGCAGGCGGACCGTACAGGGATGTGTTGTCGCATCTTGCGGCGGAGATCATGACCATGCATCCAAGCAAGGACTTCCAAATGAACCCGCTTTTCTGCCAATACGGCAGTGAAGGGGCCAGTGCCGTGATGCCCAATGCCAATATGATGAATAGCACCCAGGCACCACTCATGTTAGAATTCTTTGGTAAACTTCTGGCATCATTTTTTATCACAAGAGACTTGCTGACGGTGGAATTTCCGCCCATTTTCTGGAAGTTGCTACTCAATGACCCAGTTTCAGTGAACGACCTTAAGGTCTTTGATCCTAACATCGTCGAGTTACTTGAACCCAATAACTTGATGGCGCAGACAGAAGAGGAGCTTGAGGGGGAGTTTTCTGGAGTTGTGAGGGTATGGCAGCAAATCGTGGAAAAAAATCCCCACCTTCTTCTTTCTAAATCGCTTCCTCCAACCACAGTTGAGTCGGCACGGCTGTTATCGCAAAAGATTGTAGAAAACGACATTAGCCGATTCGCTGAGACAATGCACTACATTCAGCTAGGCTTCAGCGAAGTCCTTCCATTGTATGTTTTGCAAGCCTTTCGCTGGCAGAAGGTGCGCCTCCTTATCTGCGGGACTCAAAAGCTTTCATTTGAGGCATTTAGGAATGAATGTGATATTCAGCTTCCCTCAAGAGAATCTCAAATGTTCTTAAGCGTCTTGGAGAGTATCTCGGATGAAGATAGACAGCTTCTTCTTCGCTTCACTACCGGCCAATCCAGATTACCCATAAAATCTTGCATCAAGGTGCAACATAATGGTAGCAAGAACTCACTTCCGACAAGTAGTACGTGCTTTTTCCTACTGCGGCTTCCATCTTACTCATCCGAAGAGTTGATGAAGGAGCGCCTCCTGTACGCGATTCGGCAGTGTAGCACCATTGATGCAGACGGACTGCCGAGAGAAAATCTCATCATAGATTTCTAAAAAGGTTTGTTCCACTTATTTGTTTGCATTCAAATGTGCATGGTATTGATCTTCGATCTTTGAATTTTTAGTTTATTCGCAGAGTTGTTGTTTTTATATACACGATGCAGGGGATTTGTTCACGTCAAATATAAATATTATATACAATAAAGCACATGCCGATGCTTTTTCTATGCTTCTTTTTTTTCCCTACCCCATTTTAAGGGAAAAATTTTCTTTGTTTTGACAAATGTGCTTTAAATAACTAAAATAGTATATGCTGTAGTTCAATCTATACAAACATAACTGCTGCTTGCTTATAGAAAGACATTACATTAATGTGTTGCAACCCACACTTTTAGTATTATTATTTTTTGATGCTTCCAATGGACAGCTCACAGCTTTTCAATGTTCTCCATTTTCTTTCTCTAATCCAGAAATGATTTCCCGCTTTATTTTTATCCTTTCCTAGTACCTCACCATATGCATAAATTTCGCAATCTTATGTAATTCCTTACAACGCTTTATCTTGCCCTTCAAAAAAGCCTGAAAATGAGTGAACTTGATATCCAAGAGATAACGGAATGTTGTCTGATTTGGTTGAAAATATACTGTGAATTCGATCGTGTAGAATTTTCAGCCAAGGCGCTCGCATCGTATTGCCCCTGTGATCTGTCAGATAATCAGTGTCTGTTGTGTGGGAGACCTGGCGTCTTGAAATCGATGTGCTAAAACAAAATGTATGCAAAAAAAAGGAAGCGATGCCCAAGGGTAGGAAGCTGCATTGGCTTATATGTCAAATACAGTAGCTCGATATAAAGGTTAAGCTACAAAAAGCGAAACAAAATCATAGACCCATTTGGCACTATCGAGACAAGATGTTCCTGTTGGGGCTGCAAAAGATGCTTGGGTAGGTGCTAGGTATATGCACCCAATGTATGAGCAAGCACGGTGAAGTGACATGCGTCGTATGCTTATACACTTGGTGTTTAGAGAAATTGATACCACTTTACAAGCTTGCATTTTTAAAATTCTCTATTATGCATGTTTTTGCTAATGATGAGTGCAAATTGCGCGCTGCGCATGGCTCATGGGGTAAATAATAGAATCCCCTCTACTTTCATAGGCACACGCAAACGCATCCCGGCGTCTCTTTTCATTGCAGTGGTCTGAGAACACGGCGCCAGAGCTTCCCTAGTGATTCATCGGGAAACTGTCTAACACATTTAGTTTCTCAAGTTGAATTGAAAGTGAACGCGTTAGTAATGGGAATAGGGTCACTTTTGTTTTCGAGTAAACTTCAGGTTAAAGAATAGGGATTCCTAAAGAATAATTTCAAAACTATCTTTAGCTTGCCCTTATGGGTTCATTCGTACACTAACGGACACTCAAATTGAATTCACATTCCCCAGAAGCTTTCAGCCTGCTTACTATTTTTATCACTTTTACAAAATCTCGCTCAAAGAATTTAATCTTAATGTTATTTCGGTGTTTCACATGCATCTTATCTTTTATGAATTTATTTTCAGTAATCTTTATTCTTATTAACATTATTTGTATAGTTCAATTTGAGTCATGATGCAACTCGTTTATTTTTCTAAATGTCATGAGGGGTTTATACATATGTTCCCCTTTTTTCTTACTCCATATAAAACATCATAATAAAAATGGGATGATATATGCCTTGCTTTCTCAGCACCCTATCACTCTTAATATAAGCCTTTTTTCCTTTTCATTTTTTTCTAGCGTATAAAGCAAACTGACATTCTGTTTCTAACTTAGTAGAAACTTCAAAGAGAATTATTTTATTTTATATTTGCTGATTTCTCTTTTTTTTCTTTCCCGATTTGTCGCGTAATGTCGAAAATTGTAGGTTCTTACAAAAATGCACACAGTTTTGAAGAGCGAAAGCGGGAATCAGAGAAGGTCCACGAGCGAACACCGGATCGTATTCCCGTGATTTGTGAAAAGGCAGAAAACTCACGAATACCAGATCTTGACAAGGCAAAGTATCTAGTTCCTCCCGATGTGACTGTCGGTGCTTTTCTTGTGAGCATCCGACGACGCATTACCATCGAGCCTGAGAAGTCAATATTTCTTTTTGTGGGAGACACCGTCCCGGCCAACGGTACCATTATGAGCGACTTGTACAATGCTTACAAAGATGATGATGGATTTCTATACGTCACGTACTCTGCAGAAAATACATACGGATGCCAATGTTCTTGATTCTTGATTTTTTTTTGAACCCAAAGAATATAAATTTAGTCATCTTTTATTTATGGTGACACTCAACTTCATTCATATATTACTTGATACATTTGCTTCTGTAGCCAACCCTTCTTGTATATAAATAAATCAATACGTCCATCACAAAGTAGACCGACTACTTCATTCTTTTGGTTCAAGTTGTGTAAGTTTGTATATTCTGGAGGGCAATGCTTTTCAGCAACAGGGCTCATTTAGAGGTTGGTTTCCGGTGCTTTTTTTGAATTTTAAATTTGATATAGTATTGGCTTTTGTTAACTTCATTTTAAATTAATCAATATATTTGTATTTTAAAATAGTTTAATTTCTTTTCACACATAGTTCCAAAAATACAACATAAAAAGCGACACACACACACACGTACGCACAAAATTATGGTCGTTATTTCGGGTGCAGGTTTCGCTACTATCGACTATTTGTTCATAAATGTTGACTTTAGCAGCGAGGCCTTCAAAAAAGGAATGTCAAAGACAAAAGGGGATTGTGGCCTTAACCCTGGGCATTTGTCATTTTCCAAAGACTGGGAAAAGTACACCGGTAAGTCAGTTGAGGAGCTGCGCAAAGAGCAAGGGTGGATCCACGAACCACATTCCCATAATCTTGGGGGGCCGTGTATCGTTGCCATGGTAACTGCTGCCCAATTGACTTCACACCTGAATTG